GGCTGCTTTGTTTTCACCTTTACTTTCCCTGAAGTGACTGTATTATTTGCAACTTCCTTTTGAATCAAGAGTAGTCACTTGAATTTTCCCTCCCGTATCCGGTCACCAAATGTTGCCGTGCCTGACAGTGTGTGCCTGTCTCTTGTAGGCAATACTTCTTCAGTGACATCATATTCCGTGTAGAGTCACTCTGCCCGTTGTCTTTTCAAGTTCATACCTTGACACAGGTCATCAGTCTGGCGAGTTAAATCCTTGGGAAGCTGCCACAATTCTGGCCATAGGTTTTGTTGGTCTATTGTTTATAGCCTGTTACTGTTTTGAATAGAAACCTCCTATGTTTAATAAGTGTAAAGACTCTACAGAAACATGGGGCTTTGTGTATAGAAAGAGGGGTGGCTTAAACAACAATTATGAATTACTAAATCCACAGGGTGGGCTGGCAGACCAGAGACCCTGAAGGAGCCGAGGTTTATGTCATGTCTGAGGAGTCTACTGTGAAATCTGTCCTTACTCGAGAGAGATCATTCTTTTGCTGTATTCAGGCCTTCCACTTATCCAATGAGGTCCATACACACTGTGGAGGGAAATCTGCTTTGCTCAGAGACCACTCATTTAAAAAGCAATCTCACCCACTACCAAACCCTTGTGTTTATTCAAAATAGCTAAACCAAAGGTCCAGGAGCTTTGACACACACTTAGAATAAACTATCACCCCAATGCCCTGAACTTGGCAGGATTTGAACTTTGCCCTCCTTCCTGTCAGTTGTAGGCCAGACACTCACCTCTATGCTGGGCTCTTCTGAGCCTCCAGCGTGCGTACTGAGGCTGGGGGTCAACCAAGAACTGAAGGAGAACTTGAAAGCAGACCTACTCCATCCCTAAGTCAGCTTCATTTCTGGTTTTGTTCCCCAAATCCCAAGGGCTGGGATGACAGGAAATCAAGGCCCACACCCGCCCTATGTGCAGTGTGACTGGGGTGCATCTTTGGGAAGATACTGGGTACATCTGAGGCTCCATTCTCTGCTTTTCCCTGGTTTCAGCGGCTCTGGGAGGCCCTTTGGACTCTTTCAAAGGCTCTTCTACTGCTCATGTGCAGAGTATATTGTGGGCACTGGCAAAGGGCTAGAAATGAGGCATAACTTGGTCATCCCCAGTGTTAGAATCCTGTGTTATGTTTTAATGTCTTGCAACTTCCAAGGGAATATTTTTGTTCTAGCATTTACAGTGTGTGTGCCTGTCGCTCTGTGTGTGTGCGTGTGTAAATGCATGAGTTGTGTGTGTGTGTTGTGAATCTGTATGCATCATTTGTGTCTATATTGTGTATATTGTGTGTTGTGTATATGTGTGTATTGTGTATATATATTTGTGTAGTAGTGTTGTGGGATATTAGTTTAAGATGTGTTACATTTGTTTATGCTGTGGAAGATTTGTTTTAATTATGCAAAGATGTGTTGCAGAGAGAGAGAGAGAGAGAGATGGCTGAAACTCAGGACCATGAACGCTTGAACTTATGATCCACTGACCAGGGAGGCTGAGATCCTGTGCTCTGCTTCCACAGCCTGGAGATGAGCCACCTGCTTGTCATCTGATAGCAATACCTTTCTGAAAAAGGCTATTTTTGAAGGTTGATTAATTAGTATGGCAAGTCTGAGATTGTGACAAATTGCCCAGGAGAAGAAGAATCAGCTCTCAGGATGTGCTCGGAGCAGCCCAGGCAACCCCTCGTTCAGACTTGCCCTCACCGGCCACTTCTCTGTTTATGCCGTGGCTCTGCTGGGCTCAGCATCCCTCTGTCTTAGCAATCCCACCACCTCCATCATCTCCTCCAGTCTGCTTGTCCTCTCTCCCCTTCTCGCTGGGACTTCTCAGGGATCTCTAAACATATTCCAGAATAAAAATTCCACATGTTTTTAACTCTCATTATCAGGCACAACCTCCACAGAACTTTTACAGAAGCCCTGTGGGAAGTGTGAGGTTCACTTTGTCCTAATGCAGCCAGCCCCATGCTGGGCTCCGAAGCGTTGGCTTAAAAATCCAGGACTCAGCTGGAGACCTTTCCGAGCTAGGTCGGGTCTAGCCCACGCTGGTAACTGTTGACTCTAGGAGTGGGACCATCTTCCTTTTTCTTCTCTTTTCCGTTCTCCCCCAACCTATCCATCCTCATCAACATCCACCATTCCCTCATCCCATCCCCAGCTACATTATCGCCCTGCCTGAAGGGGCAAGGATGTAGAAGGGCACCGACTGATTTGGAAATCAGCCTGACACTTCCACCTCGCCCATGTGTCTCTCTGTGTCGCTGTTCTAGCCTTTGCTGCTGTGCGGAGGTCTAGAGCAGAACCCAAGACACTCACACACTTCCTGCATCACCCGTGTGGGCTCTTAGTACACAGAGAAAACATACATGAACATACATGTTTCATTTTATGTCTTGAGCTTATTTAGGAATTAAATCTCAATATTTTTAACTTCTCAGTAGATTATCTATTGCTTATTTTTAACTTGCTGACTTCTCTTACCTTCCCTTCTCTTCCTCCAGGTACCAAGTCCTACAGGTTCCACACCACAGCTAGACTGAGCATCACTTGTCCCTAATCTTTAAGTGTGGTGCTCTCCATCCTGTGGGGAGATATCAAGGAGACTACATGTGCTTTAGGGGCTCCATGGTCTCCGAGGCCAAGAAAGTAAGGTTTAACCTCACCCATGGCCTCTGCTACAATGTCCCCAAATGGGGGGGATGAGACAACCAGGTCTGAATGCCCCTATCCAAGACACTGACCCAGCACAGCGACTCACAGTGGTTGTCCCCAATACCTCCAAGAGCTACCGTCCTCCCTGGAAGCTGCTCCTGAGAAGGGGGCTGTCAAGACGTATTGTCCTTTAGAGTCGCATCTCTGGAAGCTGCTCTCAAGAAGAGCCTGAGAGTTTTCCATTAAGAACTTCCAGATGGAAGCCACTGAATTGGGGTTTGGGAAGAAAGCCAGAGAGGTATCATGGCCAATGGTTCCCCGTCCATGACATGAGTCCCTTGCCACCTGGGGACATGCTGTTGGTCAGATAAGAACAGTGCAATGGCACTTCCGTTAAGAACGGCCTGCATGTGTGACAGTGTACCACAAGGCTGCATCATCTACCGACCTTACAGCCCCTGTTCATTTCTTCTATTCCGATATGGTATGATGGACCACGCCCTCCTGAACGGTTGCTGTGAATACCTTCAGAAAATTGCTTCGCTCAACTGCCAACTGAGATGAAACTAGCACACAGGTTATACCATGAAAGACCTAATTAACGACGCCCCCATTCAGCAGGAAGCAGTTTGGAGAGAGAAAACTGCGCCCATGTTCCCAAATAAGGTTTATAAATGTTCTATTACATTTAAAGGGGGAAATGATATAGATATGAATAATTTGCATTGGTATGGATTTTAAGGTCAATTTTGTTATATGCATTTTTGATCTTGATTAAGGTATTGTGTCGTGTAGTTCATTTTAAAATGTAATGTATAATTAGGAAATATAAGTTGTTAATGAATAATCATTAATAATAGTTAAGTTTGTAGTCATGTTAGTTAAGATTTTCTGGATGTGCATACATATATTTTAGATAGGCATTCTTCATATTTTTCAAAGATTATAGAATATGGCATTTTAAATGTTTTAATAACTTAGGACTTTTCATGACAATGAGACACTCTGCTCCTGGCATCACCAATCTACTTCAAAAGGAAGATGGGCATCGAAGAGGATCCTTATGGAGTTTAATAGCCATTTGGGCAAGAAACTGCTCTTGCCTGGACTATTGCATGAACTGGACACAGAGAACCCGCAGAGAGAGGACTGCTGAACTTGCCTAATGGTGAGATGATCTTTCGGGGTTCCTGATTCATGAAAGAGTCTGCAAGACATTCTTCAGGACAAGCAGATAGTGACTGCCTTTGAAATTTCCTGCATTGTGGAAATGTCTGCTGGAAACTATGGGCCTGTAGGCCGAAGATGGATGCCCCAATGGTACAGAGGAACTTTGGGTGACTGTCCAGGCAGTGAGATGTCTCTGTCATTTCTAGAGTTTGAGAGTTTGCTTATTTCTTATTTGTTTAGGTAATATTGTATCTTTCTGGACTCTTTGATGGAGTTAAGAATAGTTAGCTATAGTTATAGTTTTCCTTAGTTATGCTATAGATTATTGTAATTGTTACTTGATAACTGTTTTGTTATATGTAATTTTGCTATGTTAAGTTAAAGCCTTCTTTTTTTGTTTAAACAGAAAAAGGGGAAGTGATGTGGGAGTGTCATATATCAATCTGTTGATTTCATTGGTTAAGTTATAATAAACCAGCTGCTTGGCCTCATGGCTGGAACATAGATGGGAGGAGTAAACAGAATAGAATTCTGGGCGGAAGAGGAAGTGAGGTCAGACTCTGCTCTGCTTCCAGACAGACCGGACAGCTCTGCTGGAGCAGAGACGCCATGCTCAGCTCTCCCAGGCAACTCCAACCCACGATGGACTTAGGCTAGAATCTTCCCGGTAAGCGCACCTTGGCGTGCTTACAAACATTATTAGAAATGGGCTAGTCCAGGGGCGAGAATTAGCCTGTAAGGGTTAGAGTTCATGGGCCAAGCAGTTCTTTAAATGAATACAGTTTGTGTGTTGTTATTTCGGGCGTGAGCTAGCCAAGCGGCTGGGGTGTTGGGGACGCAGCCCCGCCGCCGCTCTTATTTCAACAATCTGCCTCACGTAAAGCACGCTGCATGGTGCCCACCCAAGACTGGCAGCACGGAGGGGTGTCTTCCTCAGAGTTTCCCCATCATCGGGTGTCACATGACTGTGCTTCTGTTTGCTAAATTCTATGTGGGGCAAGGAGACAAAGCCAACCCATGTCTGGAAAACATGTCACAAGGTGCAGTGGTGGGGAGGACCCCATGGCATGTGTAGAAAACATGAAACAAGGACCAAGAATCCAAAGCCATTCACCTTCGCTCACGAGTGATTCTGCCATTCACAAACCAGATGTTTTAATTAAAATGCTGCTAAAAGAAGCAAATCAATTACCAGCTCCCGTACATGATGATTTATTCTATCGCAAACATGGAAGAATGCTTATGAGTAGCATGTAACTGCTTGAGGTGAACAGTTAGCAAAAGCTGCTAATGAGTAGCCCTGTTGTCAAGTCAGACAAAAGACGCCCTGGGACTCCAGACATTATTGTAATGCAGCACTTGGTTCTGTAAAGCCAGCTCATCTTCCAGCATAGTATGATGGAGGGAACCCCGTCTTAGCAGACCCAGTCCACGCGGCCACCTGTCTTCTTGAAGAATGGAAAAGCAGAGTCTCCCAAACCAGAAATGATGGCAGCGTGGGAATGTTCACAGAGCCCGTGTCCTGATCTTGTATCGGGAAGAGTAGCATGACCAGGGTTTGTTTCCCGAGGCCTTTCCTGCAAGCCCTGTGCACGCTGTAACGAGCACCACAAAACCACGCTATGAGGGCCACGATGCCAGCCTGCGTTCTTGTGCTCTCTGTGAGGCGCCAGGCCAGCTTGCTCTTGACCACACCCACATTCATTTGCAGCACTTCAGCTCCAAGGCCTTTCCCAGGGCTGTTGATTTTCTTCCTCTCACTCTGGCTTGGTTTGTCCTCTCCTCCCTTACAAGGACAGCCTTTTACTGATAGCACTGGACACTGGCTTATCAGTTCCATGATCCCCTGAATGCTCACGTGGTTCGTCTTAGAAGTGGGAGTCTCCTGGCTGCTAAGACTGTGAAGCCTGTGTCTAGAGGGTTATAATCCCGTGGTGCTGAGGAAACTGTCTCGGCTTGGTTCCCATTTCTGCGATCCGTGTGGGATGGATGGTTCTCCACTGATGTGGATACAATGCTGTTGTACAAGCGTGCACAGCTCCCACACAAGCACGTAGGATGGGAACTATGGATTTGGGGTTTCTTTGTCCCCTGCTGCAGAGTCATGTTCTCCCCCTGTACGGACACTCCTGCAGAAGAGGAGTGATATCGTCCCTCAGGACAGAGGTGCTGTTGATTGGAGTCCTTTTAGTACCTGACCATGTAATGATCCATCACCAGCCTCAGGTGTTCAGACCCAAAACACCTAAAGCCTCTCCAGATGCAGCTGGCCACTCACAGCTCGATCACCTGGGCATCTCTAGAAAGGGAAAGAAACATTGGAAGCCTCTCTGTTAGAGTGATGGTGTTCTTACGTTTGGCTTTACCTGCTGGCAGCACAGTGAGCAGATGTGAGGAGCTCAGTGGCAGGTGTCAGCACCATGGGGCCTCTCCTCGAATGACACAGAAGGATGCCTGCGGTCCATGCTGAAGCCAGATACCAGCCATGAGGTCGTTTCTGCCAGCCAGACCTAAGGCCACAAGACTCACGTCAATACAGTGTTGGGCACTCCAGTATTCACCAAAGTGAATCAGAAAGTGCCCGGGACTCATTCCTCGGGGTTGATCGGGCTATTTGGGGGAAGCGTCACTGTATATGAAGACCGTGTTTAGATCTGGGCAGAGGCTGAGCGGAGCAAGACAGGGAGGCCTACGGGGATGTAAGACAGCGCCCTCAGCTCCACATCGCGAGTTGTTTGCTTCTGCACCAACTGAGACGGGGGGGGGGGGGGGGGGGGGAAAGGCACTGACCATGGATTTTTTTTTTTTCAAAAAAGGAAAACAAAAGAAAAAATGAAGGCACCAAATCAGGCCCTGACACAAACTCCTGACCTGGCTCCATGATGCCCTGTAAGCTGTAAGTTGAAACGAACCCTTTCTTCCCCTAGCTACTTTTAGTTGTGGTCTTCACCGCCGCACTAAAAGACAACCTAGGGTGGGGGGTGGGGTGGGGGTGATCTGTCAGGAAGAAACCTATTAGTTAGTAAAATTAATATACACTAATTAAACCATTAAAAAGGAAAGATCTAATGAAGGAAGCGGGGGCAACTGAGAAGAAAATCTAAGAGAGGCATCCAATGTTGTCTAATGCTACTGTGTCTCCCTAAAGCGAATAATGGTTCAGAAGAACACAGACTCTGTAGGACCTTGTCTAGACAGTCAGAGGCTAAGCACAGAGTTCACTCCATCTGTTGATTTTAATCAGCCACAAGGTAAGAGGCCCATTCAGGGTTGAGGAGAGGATTTTCAGGGTCTGGGCCTACTCAGCAAAAGTGCTTAAGATATTGATGACCCAAGTAGACAAGGAGGACAGCCTCCTTGCCATGGTAACCCTGAGCTAGGGAAGGGCCTCCTGGACCAGGACACGGGAGTCATGACTACACGAATGTGTGGGTGTCAACAGCCTCCTAGGAGCCAGGCACAACCCGCAGTAAAAGGCAGGCTAAGCAGACGAGAGAACAACACAAGCTGGCTGGGTAAGTAGCGGAATTAGACTGTCCAGCCATGTGATAACATGAAGAGAAAGAACAAAAAAAAATCTGGACACGACACAACCAGAGTGATTGTTAGGCTAAAATATTTTTACCATGTTATCCAAAAAAATTACATGTAGGTCAATAAGGAAAAACAAATAGATAAATAAAATCAATCCATGCTTCTGTGTCTGGTGAGCCAAGGAGAGCCTGGAACACTTATTATTGAGTTTTGAAAATAGGAATGGGTCTTAGATTCTGTCAGAAATGTCTCACTGATGAGAGAGTGGCCCAGTAAATGTCATGGGTAAAGTCCTTCCCCGACAGCCCACTCTCAACCCAGCTTGCCGTTCAGTGGATGCTAAGCAGGTTTCCCACCAAGATCAGGAACAAGGCGTGTAGTTCTCCGTGGCTCCTATCACATAACAGTGGCAACTTAAGATGTATCAGAGAAGAGGGAACAACAATTAGTGTCATAAGAACTGGGAAAGAAGGAATGAGTTTGGGCAGATGAGGGAGTGCCATGGAAACTCAAAGGGACCAAAGGAAAAAAAATAAGCCAAATGACCCAAGCATCTATGAGGGCATCCAGGGTAATATATACTCAGTGACCAGGTCAGTGAAGTAACACGAAAGACCGTAAACATACAAGGTATTTAAAATACTTGGGATTAAATTTACAAGAAAGGTAAGAACCTTATGAATAAAGCCTGAGGGTTTTCATTGAAACACACAAGAACAGACATGTTAAGTGTCTTTATAACAAGACCATGGTATGTATATCCACAGAGAATGCAGCCATAAAGAACGAAAAGAACCTGTGATGTGCAGAACCGTGAACAGAGCTGGAGGGCATGGTGTCGAGTGAAGTGGGCTAGACACAGAAAGCTGCCATGTGTCCTTGAACACAAAAAAAGTGGTGTGAAAAACGTCAGCCTGAATACAGACGACTGAGTACTGCAGGTTGGGATAAAGCAAAGCTGGGTTTGCATGTCAGATGCCTGGACTAAGACAGCATACTAAACCCACTAATAGTTGTGATTAACACATTTGCTAATCAAAAATAAAATGGACTTTTCCCATGGATTTCTGGCTAATGTTACAATGAAATTAATCAGCTCCAATCTAATGTATAAAAATTATATATCCCCAATGAAATACCAAGACATTTGTTTTTATAATAAAATTCTGAAGTTGACTGCAAAGTCTTGCTTAAAGCTGCCAGAACTAAACTAGCAAACCTTTCCCTGAGGAACAAGTGCGGTGTGGGTTTGCTGGGGGCTGGAGGAGACAGCCTGACAGATGGCAAAGCACATCTGGAAACACAGTGTGGTACCTGTCCATTACTGACCACAGGTAGCCAAGTCCAGAAACATCCGCGCATGCAGGGAACCAAGAGCAAATCAAATGATAGGAATAGAGGGCAGGACCAACACTGTCATTTGTCTTCTGGTTTGCTCTTCTTTAAGGTTTATTTTGTTGGTGGGTGTGTATATGCGCGTGTATACACATATGTGTGTGTGCCTTTGGAGGCCAGAAAAGTGCATCAGATCGTCTTGAAGCTTGATTTATAGAGTTACAGGCGGTTGGACATGGATGCTGGCAAATGAACTCAGGTCGTCTGGAAGGGCAGCCAGCACTTAACCTGCCCAACCATCTCTCCAGCACCATTTGTTCGTTTCTGAGACAGGGACTCACTATCAAGTTCAGGCTGGACTCTAACTGGCAACCTTGCCAACACTGGGATTAAAGGCGTGCACCAACTATACTTAACCTATGCTTTTAATGAGGTTGTTATTTGTGTAAAAGACCAAATTGTATCAATAGCTGGCCTCACACACCAAAATGAATACTAGCGAATTAAGCAAAAATTATTAAAATACCACAAAAATATATCTGAATAGATATCAAAATATAACCTGATATATACATAACATAAAAATTTCATGATTAAATATAAAATTAAAACTTATTATATGTGAATGTTTAAAATTTAATACGTTTTTGTGGAAGAGTCAAGGGGAGGGGTTTAGCCAGCCAGGAGCCACTGAGATGGCAGCCTCAAGCAGAGACATAGCAACAGTCTGGAGAGAAAGAATTCTCTGTGTTCATGTTGAACAGTCTCATCTTTGACTTTGGTCTTTTTTACCTGTTCAAAAATAAACTAAGGGTTTTAAATAAAACATTAAGTTCCCCTAGGCCATGAGAGCAGTATCCCTAATTCTGTATCAAATGTCAGCAATAATCACACAGAGAAAATTATTATTTAAATTGAACATAGTGCTCTAGCTGTATTCACATGAAAAGCAAAACTCTATAGGCAAAAAGCGCTGAAGAGATTTCATCGTGCTTGCTGGGCAGGCTGTACCAGGACACTGCTGGGATTCACGTAGCATCGTGTGTGATGGTTGGAACTGAGCAAAAGGGTAAAAATCCTTCTCTGGTAGAGAAACAGGCTCTCCACGTCAGAGGAGGCAACACAGACAGGGAAGCTCTGGAGACCTTCAGAGGGTTGCCTTTGCCTTTTACACATATACATGGAAAGAACCCAGGGAAAATGGCATGCTGGTGGCCATGAGTGTGATACAGTTTGTCCAAATTCAGATTTCTAAAAATCAAACCCCCATAAAAATAGAAGGAAACTCAAGGAAAGGGCTGAGGGGTAAGTCTGGATGAGAGAGGTTGGAAAGGACCTGAGATACTGTGTGTGTGTATGTCTATGTATGTGTACTCATGTGTCTATGTGTCTATGTGTGTGCATGTGTATCTATGTGTGTCTATGTGTCCATGTATGTGTCTGTGTATATGTATACATGTGTGTATGTGTTATGTATATGTATGCATGTAACTACGTATTATGTCTATGTGCATGTGTATATATGTGTGCCTTGTGTCCATGTATGTGCCTCTGTGTGTGTCTGTGTATACATGTGTGCATATATGTGTCCATGTATGTGCCTCTGTGTGTCTGTGTATGCATGTGTGCATATATGTGCATATGTGTCTATTTGTGCATCTGTGTATGTCTACATGTGTATATATATTCATGTCTGTGGATGTGTGTGAGCATGTGTCTGTGGATGTATGTGAGTATGTCTGTGTATATCTATAGTGTCTGTGTACACATGTATGTGTGTCTGTGTCTATGTGTATGTATATGTGTCTATGTGTATGTGTCTATTTATGTGTATCTGTGTATATGTGTATGTGTGTGTCTTGTGTATGTGTGTTTGTGTCTATGTATGTGTGTCTGTGTATATGTGTATGTGAGAGTGTGTGTATGTGTTTAATCTGGAAGGTGCTTCAGAACAGCCAGGATGTTTTCAATGGGGCCCATTTGTCTTCAAGAAATGATTTGCGCATTCCCCCTCTCCAGCTCCTGCCAGCCTTTGGTAGTTGGGAGAGCTGTCTCTGAGGTCATGAGAGCAGGAGAGCTGTCCCTGCCCCTCACCAGTTGTTTCAATCAGAAGAGTGGCCCCTTCATCTCTCTTGGGTAACACAGTAGAGCTGGCCCTGGTTATGTAGGTATGTGTAAGGCAGGCAACCCTCAGGGCCTGAAAGCAGGAAAACTTGTTCCCTCCTTGCTCCTTGCTGCATAGGGTAAACTAGCAGGGGCAACACTGGAGAGCTCACCCTGGAGAGAGCTCTGCTGGGAGAGAGCTGGTGGGCTGACCAACCCTGTGACCCCCAGACCCAGAACCAGGGCTATGTGTTAACCCATCTCAACATCCACTCCATCTATGATATACGTATATGTGATATATGGAGTACGTGAAGGGGCCAGTCCTACGACTCCAAAGCTGCAGGATCTCCACAACACAAGGCAAAAACAACATATCCAAGAGGAGAAGCAGTGAGGGCCCAGCATCGATAGTGTAGCAGAAACCAGAGGCCTCGAACCAGGTCAATGACTCTTTGCAATGACACTGCTAGTGAAGATATATGGACTAAATGGTATATGACGAGATTTTTCTTCTTTTTTTTCTTTTCTATTAAATTTTATGTTATTGTACAGGGGGGGGTGCAAGGATCTTATCCTTCTGGTGGATAAGAAGGGGGGTTTGCAAGGACAGAAGGTGGATAAGAAGGGATGGGGAGATGGATGAGATCAAGAAAGACACAAAAAATAAATAAAATATTTTTAAAATAAGATACATTCCATTTACTCAACTTGGGATACTTTGAGCAACAAAGAATTATGACGGTGATAGATTAAAAAGCATTGAAGTCTAGTACAACAATAATCACTAAAAATAAAATATGGGAAAAGAGAGAAGTATAAAAAGTCCTTCCCAGTTGCCCCCAAAGAGAATGACAGGTATTAAATGCAGAGGAGGCACCAGGATTGTGCACTCAGTATTTTTGTGACCACCAATGACAACAGCTGACTTAGACATGAGCTATGAATAGGTGAGATCAAAGGGTGAGGATCACTGGGGGTCAGGCTATGTTCACAAGCACCAGTCTTCAGCACATTCGCTATTGACAAAGAACTATATTGACAAAGCATCTCTACAGCACTGAGGGCAAGAGATGGCTTCCTTAGCCAGTCTATCAAAAGACGCATCACCAACAGGGAGCCTGGCAAGAGTTAGGTATGAACTGGACAGTGTAAGATAGGCAACACCCCGCCCTCCCCCTCCAAAAAAGAACGGGACATTATACAATTTTAAACTTAGGCAGTTCGAAATGAGAGACGCCATGGGAAGAAAGGAAAAGGAGATGGAGGGAGCAGATAAGTTTTATTTGCAACTTCTCGGATTTTCTATGGATTTCAAGAGTTTTTTTTTTTTTTCAAACAGAAAGAGGACAGAAGAGAAGATGAGAGATGACTCCAGACCTAGAGTGGCCAACCCATTCAGGGTTCAACCCAGGACCGTAAGATCGTGACCCTCCGCATCTGCTCCCAATATGCAGGCTTTCCCACTCTCGGACCCCCGCAAAGCAGTATGAGAAGGCAACCGTCAAACACACTGAAGCCTGCTAACACAGAGTAGCGTTTTGGATTTTGCTTTCGTTAAATGAGCTAAACTGGCTAATAGATTGGCCACTGTCAAAAGGAAGGGTTGTGGGAAAACCAGACTCTTGTTTGGCTAAAGCCCAGTTCTCCCAGCTTTAATTGAGCAAATGACCACAGCTTTTCTTTTCGTATGGCCGAAGGCTCATCCCTTGCGAACTCTCCACAGTCCTAAAGGAAGGCTGTCCAAGTCCAAGATCTCTAACTAGTGCCAGCATTCCCAACCATGGCAAGGGAAAGTGCCACAACTGCCCCCAGGGCAATGCCAGCCTCCTTCCTGTCAGGACAAGCTTTGGAGCAGAGGAAGATGCTGTCTAAAAGTCTAGTAAAGAGCGGGAGGTGAGGCCAGGTCACGTGCGAGCCCTGACTCCTTGTGCTCAGCTGCTTCCTGGGGTCTCAAGTTGGCTAGGATCCCCAGACTTCATCTCGTGTTAGCTGGAGGATCTTGGTCACGTCCCTCTGTGGCAGTCATTCATCCCCTTCCTTCACTGCCCTTGGCGGCTACTTTTGGAGGTTCCTTTTTTGAACAGCTGTTACAGCCTCTTTCCTCCTACAGCCCCATGCCTCAAAGACTCCAGAACTTTCCCACTTTGTCTTCTTTCTGCAGCCTCTTGGCTGTGGTTCAGCGGGTGTCCCAGGAGAGTCCGAGCTCTGGCAGACTTCCAGAGCGGCCACCATCTGCACAGGCCCTCCTCCTAGCCCTAAGAGGATGACTGTGATCATCCAGCGCCCTTCTCCTCTCCCAGTTTTCAGTGCTAGACAGGAAGTTTCAGGACAGGGTTTCAGGGTCATTCCCTTAACCCAAGGCTCTCACAACCCAGAGAGTTGAAACCTCTACAACATCTTCCCTACCCACACCATGGACTAATAAAGCATTTGCTCTCACCATAAGACTCCCTCTCTGGCCAAACGGCCCACTGAGGTCCTCCTTTCTCAGGGCTCCTGGGTTTGTGTGGGTTCCTTTTGCTTCCTCCCTGCACCCTGACACAATCTACTTCCCACTGAGTGAGAAGCCCCCCACACTGCCAAGGTCACACAGGCCCTTCCTGTCACACCACTCTCAGAGGGCTGTCGCCTGTGACCCCTGTCGTTAGGGGGAACTTGTCTTCCCTCTCTTGCCACCCAGCACCTGTCTCATGGCCACATGGCCATTCATTCATTCATTCATCACAGCCACAGCTCACGCTCTGTTCTAGGCACTGGGCTACCTGCTGGACCTACAGCGATGGAAAGACAGACCTGCTCTCAAGGAGGTTACATTTTTGGGAGAGAAACAAACAAACAAAAGACCCAGAATTTAATGACATGTGATATGTCATGCATCTATGGAAAAGAGGCTTTGAGAAAATAAAGCCAGGGATGGGGAGATGGCCATCAGTAAGTTCTGGAAGCAAGCAGGAAGAACTGTTTGATATCCAGCACCCATGCAAAAGCGGGGCACACGCCCATAACCCAGCACTGGGGAGGGGGCCACACGGGTATCCCTGCACCTTGCTGCCAGTCAGCCTAACTAAATCAACAATCTCTGGGCTCAGTAAGACACCTCGACTCAAAAGACAAGGTGGAACATGATTGAGGAAAATACCCAACATCAACATCTGGTATTCACGTGTGTGCACGTGCATGAGTGCAAGCCTGGCACACACAAACACATTCACATGCACGCACAGAAAGGAAAGAGAAGGGCAGTGTGGGTGCTCCTACTTAAAGCAGGCTATCTCAAATCACTGAGGCAGGGGTGGAAAGGAAATGAAGGGCAAGGCTTGCACCCACCTGAGCAAAAGCGTCTCTGTTAGAACACAGTGAGGGCAAAGGGCAGGCGACCCAAGAAGACATGGGCTCCATGCAGAAAAGCAAAGCTGCTAGATACCAGTGGGGGAATTTAACCTGGGACAGATTCTGATCACGGACGAGCTGCCGGCTTTGTTCTAAGTACCATGCACGGATGGTTCTGAGCAGAGTTGTTGAGAAGGACTCTAAGCCAAGCTGTGCAAAGACGAGTCTGGGCCCCTTTGGCTGCTGTGTTCTGTGGCCACTATTCTCATGGCCCCTACTGGTCCAAAGAAAGGAAGAGAAGCAGAATGCATTCTGTCCCCTATGGTGAGTTGGGGTCAGGGATGATACATACTGACTAGTCTGCAGTGTACTTACCTGGGGCTTCTCTTCCTGGGGTTTCTTGTCTTCTGTAGCATGGGGTCTAAACAGATAGAATTGATTGTTAGGAAGGAGAGCCTATGGCTCCTTTTCCTAGTTGGCATGCTTGTGGGAGTAGGGTGTCAAATTCAGCCCAGTGAATGGGCTCTAGAGTGGGCCACTCACTGGGAACTGGTTCAGGGCACATCTTACTGCTGTTGGAACTTCTCTGTCCATGGTCAGTCCCTGAGCCCCTTAGCTGGTGCACAGGCATGACTGAGTTGTTCCCCATACCGCCCAAGGCCCACATCCCCTCTCTACATGCAGCCTGAACCTCCCAAAGGGGCTAGAGTTCTCAGGAGAATGGATGCCAAAAACGATGGGCTAAGGAGACAGCTTCCTTTACTCTTATTGGTAAGGAAACAAAATCAAAGCTAAGCCAGTGCCTGTGACCAGTGATGGCCATTTCATTATGCCTCACACCACCCTTCCCATGTATCTCTACAGGGCATGACATATTTTGGAAGAGAAAAGAGCCTCCTTCCTCCTTGTCCTCCACAGAAAATTGCACCATCATCTTGGTTATCTTCAAGGTGCTTTGTGTGTGTCTTCCAGAGAGAGAGCTGCATATAAGCACTGCATGTTGCTATATAACTCATAGGGAAACTGCCCAGACCCTGCAGGGAGGTCTTCCCTGACACAGAGCAGGATGTGCCAGGCTGCCATTCACAGACTCACACGAGCCCAGCCACATCCAGATCAAATGCAACCACTCTTCCCTGTTCTGGGTATGACCTGCTCGTCAACCAGCTGAGCTCAGAACCACCTCAGGCCCTCCTGGGATCAATTTTATCTGACCGTATCCCGGGGACAGGGAAACAGAAGTTCCATTTGGAAGTAACTTCAGCTCTTTCCATCTTTCTCCAGAGAGCTTACTTCCCCGCATACCAAACTGACTACAGAATTACATAGTGACAGAGGGTTAGGCAGGGGCACAGCGGAAAAACAGACTCAGAGATGCCCCATTTATTCTCGGTGGGAGTTCCCGGGCTGTGGGCTTTTGGGTTTGCTTCACAGGATGCCATCTGCTATAGCTTAGGTCTAGAATGTTCTCCAAAAGCCCGTGTTAAAGGCTTATTCCTCAATACATGGTGCTACTTTAAAAGGTGGGACCTACTGGGAGCTCTGTGGCCTTAGGGACACATCTTTAAGAGGAATTGCAGAGTCCTGGCTTCTTCTCTCCAAGAGGAACCAGCATCCTCCTCTACACACTCTTGGTATGTAGTACCACCAAAAAGACCAATAGAGCATGGACCAAAATCCACAGACTGTGAGCCCCAAACTGAACCCTTTCCTCTCTTTAAGTTGATGGCCTCTGATGTTTTGTTACAGTAACACAAAGGACCCACAGACAGTCCTTTCTTCCCCAGAGCAGTGCAGGCTCTGTTTGTCACGGGTCCCTTACCCTGGGGCGTGTTCTTCAGGTCTGCAGAGTCACTATCAGACAAATGTCTCCGGATCACGCAGATCTTCAGGGCAAGGAAACCCGCAGATATGGCGACTCCCAAGGCCATACCAATGAGGGCATATTTGAAATCTAAAGCACAGGGAAGAATTGAACTCAATTCAGCTGACAACCTCCAGGGGCTTTTCATGGCTTTACACACAGTCCAGGCTCATGTTCCTGGCCCTTAACCTTCCAGTGTCTACCTGCTGTGCTAGCCTTGTTTTCCATTGTCCATCCCCAGCCCCTCCCCACCCCCAGAGCCTCCTCTCTGGTCTCTCCAGCTCTCAGAACTGTTCCCATATTTAAGGGTCATTCAAGGCCAGCAGGACCTGGCCCCTTGAGCTCTAGTGGTGGGCAACTTAATCCTCTGACTTCCTGCCATCCTACCTCACTTATCCCTTAATTTATTCATTGATTCGTCTGTCGAGGACATGAAAACCATTGCTATGTGGTGAACCTGAAAGCTAATGGGGAAGGTCCCACACTGTCTTAGAGGACCCTGGAGTCTGCTGAGAAAATCAGGCAAAAGGCTCACATTAATATCACATCACAAGTGGTCTGGACTGGCCTAGGGCCTTCATAGAGAGAGTTATGTGTGCATTGCTCCTTGCTGGTGAAGACAAGCCTCAACGTAGGGAGGACGGGCGCTGTGGGAAGGGGGCTGATGAAGAGGTGAGGACCAGAGAGAATGGCAGAGCCTGCCGTGGTAAGCCCATAGATACAGGATAAGGCATGGGACAAGCTAAGCTGCCGATCAGAGACAGACAGCACAGAGGTGGCCTGATGGCTTGTGTCCCTGGGATGGAGTTATTTTGGCCACTAAGTGGGCCTGTGGGCAAGACATGTGATGGCTAGCAAGAATGAACACCAGAGTCTACCTGCATTCTTTATAGGGTCTTACCGCAACTCTGTACCAAAACAGACACAGAGGCCACCTACCAATCTCAGTCCCAGCAGACTTGTCCATCTCCAGCACTTGAGCTCCTCCAACACCTTGAAGAAAACAAGTCCAAGCCTTGTTAGACACCCACTCTGGGCCTGGGGGTGGGGGTAACTCAGTGTAAGAACAATTGTTATGCAAGCATGAGAACCCAAGTTCAATCCTCAGCACCTACATTTTAAAAGAGAGGGAAGGCATGGCCACACGTGTGCCTGTGATGTTGACACAGACTGGATGGTTATTGGATCTTACTGGCTACCAGCATGGCTCTAGGTTCATTAAGAAACCCTGTGTGGTGGTTTAAAAGGAAATGGGCCCCAAACGGAGAGGCACTATTGGGAGGTGTGGCCTTGTTGGAGGAATTATGTCACTGTGGGGGTGGTCTTTGAGGCCTCCTATGCTCAGGCTGCCCAGTGACACAGTTCACTTCCTGTCGCCCAAGGATCAAGAGGCAGAGCTCTCAGCTCCTCCTCCAGCACCATATCTACCTGCACACTGCCATGCCCTGCTGTGACGACAATGGACTAAACCTCTGAAACTGTAAGCCAGTCCCAGTTAAATATTTTCCTTTATAAGAGTTGCTGTGGCCATGGTGTCTCTTCACAGCAATGGAACCCTTAGTAAGACAGCCTGTCTCATGGAGGTAGGCAAAAAGTGATAGAGCAATGCATGCCATGTCCTCCTCTGCCTTAACATAAATATGCACAAGTGCATGTGTGCACACTGCCAGCACACACACAGAGACACACACACTACCCAGCACACACATAGAGACACACACACTACCCAGAACACACAGAGACACACACACTACCCAGCACACACACAGAGACACACACACTACCCAGCACACACACAGAGACACACACACTACCCAGCACACACACAGAGACACACACACTACCCAGCACACACACAGAGACACACACAATACCCAGCACACACACAGCCAAGCAGACATGCACATACTAACATATACATCACACACACACACAGCCAAGCAGACATGCACACACTCACATATACATCACACACACACACACACACACACACCCCACACACACACACTAAAAATAGCAAAAATGGGCCAACACTGGTGGGGACAGAGGGCAGCTGGGATGTTGTTTGTCAAACTTGATTCCCTTTCTGCTTCCCCCTGACTACAACCCTCAAGAGCTCAGTGGGTTTCTGACTGCCAGGGTCTTGGGGCCTGGCTGAGGGGTTCAAACTTTCCCCAAAGACAAACTGAAGAATAGGGCCCTGTTGGGCTCTGCACACTATTCCTGATCTAAGACCCCTATGTTGATCCTAGCCTATATCCTGGTCATTCTCATCACCTCCTGTAGTCTACCCAGTCTTTTGCCATTGGGCCTCTCCCTCTGTCTGGTCCCTCCTCCTCCCCTCTCTGCTCGCATTTGGTCTTGGCTTTATGTTATTTCGTCCCTGGCTCCCCACACCTAGTGAGCTACCCCTTCTGTACCTCGATGGTTCTGTGCTTCCCCAGCCTAAGTGACCAAGTCAGTACTAACTTAACATTACGTAATTGCTTCTGTGCACTGGGTACCATGCTAGTAGCTTCTTAGCTAGTTAGTTACCAGCCCACAGAATATGTCGTGGTGTTCTCCCACTGTCTGCACAGGAGTGTCCAGCATTTGACACAGCATCTGAAATATAAGAATTATTAACAAATACCTGACGAATGAATAAATTATTGATAGAGGCGATAAAGCAAGACCACCATACAGGGATTCCTCATAATTCTAGCTGTTCTGGCCAGGACTTGGAGCCCCTATTCACTAGTAAACTGGTGGTACTACAGACCAGCTATATAAGACTGTGGGCCTTGGGGACGGTGGTCAATCCTCAGTCACTTATTCTGAGACAGATGTGTGCAATCCAGTTGGTCATATATTTAATACAACAATCACTCTGTGACGTGGGCCCAATTTGATGAATGAGGAGCCCGAGAGATACTGAGGACTTAAAAATGTGCCCAAAGACGAAGCAAAGTAGAAAGTGGCAGGCTTCCCCAGGAGCGCAGAAGCTGTGTACCATACTTGTGGGAAATACAGTACAAGACTCCCATGGACACTGAAACCCTGCATCCACCTCCTCTCCTACATACATACCTAGACACAAAAAATATTTATAGTAGCCAATAATAAAGTAGGATGATCATGATGATACAATATAAAAGTTACCTAGAATGCATGAAGTGTTTATTTCAGGATTTTTTCCTATTAAGCTTTTCAGGGTATGATAGACTTCAGATGGCTGGAACTCCAGAGAAAAATACTAACAACAGCGGGGACATAATTCCATGCCATCCAAGTCAATGGCAAAGGCCAATGGCCAAAATGGCCTTAGTGTCTGCTCATGCACCTCAGTGGGTCTTCCATGGAAGAGGAAAGGAGGCTGGGCCCTTGCCTGCTGAGCTCCCAGGAGGCTGCCTCCCAAGCCCTGACTTTCTAGAAAAGAAAGGGACAGAGATGCTGCTTGCCCAACCAGCAAAGGCCTTTTCCATTTACTCAAGACCACTGGCCACCCTCAGCGACACTCAGCACAGGGTGTTATGCCATAACTACACTAAGGACAACTGTGTTCTCTGTTCAGTGGGGAGGGGCTCATCATAGCAGTCCAGGACTTGTTTTTAAAGATTGGCTTTACTTCTAACTGTGTACAGGTGTGTGTCAGTATGCATGGTTAAAGGAACCCAGTAGGTGCCAAATCCCCTGGAGCCAGGGGTACAGGCAGTTATGAGCTGCCTGGCTTGGGTGCTGAGAACTCAACTTAGGTCTCTGGAAGAGCAGAGAGCGATCTTGACCTCCAGGCACCCCTGGTTCTGAAGTTTTATCTCACCTGCTTGATGGGTGAATGAAGCCTAGAGATTCCCAAGCAAAAGCACACAGCCTTGTTCTAACCACAGCTTCTGTGCAGACACACGGATGTCCCTTTCCTACAGAACTCAAGCTTACACACTCTCACACACATACACACACACACACGAGCCCACACCTGTGCATACACATAATGACTTTGATTTTCTCTAACGGGTGAAGCCCCCAATAAACTCTACTTCATTAACATTTCCTTAAATGAAACCTGCTGCCCCAGCTAGATTGAACCACTCATGGACCGAAAGATCCAGAACTGCACGGAAGGGCTATAGATGAGAGTAGGGTTTCCGCGGATACTCTAGCCTCAGAACCACCATGTTCCCTGTTCACACTGAGTCACACCCTCTGCTGACAGCGGGGCCTCCTTCTGTCTGTATTGGACAAAACACAGGAGTCGGTGAGGGCATCCTTCAGGGAGGTTAGGCTTCTAGTGGTCAGCCTGCCTTTGCTGTCCAGTCATCGGCTTTCCGGTTCCCATCTTTGGGTCTCCCCCTTGGTGACCAGAGCTCTTAATGGGAGCATTTGTCGTGAACACTTTACCCCAGCCCCAGATGAAACTGACAAGGAAATATGGGCACAATTGAGAAAGCCAGCTGCAGAGCCAGTAGCCACAACCACAGGACCCAGAGGTGTGACAGTGCCTCAGACCACTGTGGAGGAGTGGAGGGAGAAAGGAAGGAAAACCTGGGGTCAGAGCACCAAGCCCTGCCCCAGCATCACCACAGCAGCCTGGATCTGCTCTCCCTAGCTCTCGTCCTAGTCAGCGATCCTATCCAGGTTCACTTTGTCCTTCCTTGGGTCCTTTTATTCCACTCAACCCTTTGCAGATCCCTGAGACACCACCCTCCCTGTATTATGCTCAGATAACCTCTAAGCCTTGAGACTTTCCGCTAGTCTCTGAAGCTTCCAGCTTGGGGACTTCCTCCCTGAGGTCTGCATTACTGCTGAGCAGACAAACTTTAGTGGCTCTGGATGGAACTGTGCCTGCTAGCCAGCCCTCTGGCCACTCGGCGGCAGCCTTTCCCCTCCTCAGGGAGAAAAATCCTCCCAATCCGCCTTAGCTCTTTGCTCTCAGTGTGTCACCCGGAGGTCTAACCCTGCTTTCTAATGAGCCCCCGGGTGAGAATCCATCCTCAAGGCAAGCTGCCCCCTGCTAGGGTCACGAGCTGGGGAAGTCCCTCTTGAGCTGTAGACCCTCGGCAAGCCCCTAGCTCTGCAAAGTAGCTGGAGGATGGATGGCCCTAACAGGGCTTGTCTTCCAGCACAGCCAGAGGACTGCAGGATGCCTTGCTCTGCACAGGGATGTGTGAGACCCCAGGAGGAAGCTGAAGGAAAGCCAGCAGAAGCAGAAATTCTCAGCAGGAGTTCTTATAATGTAGAGGCAGGGCACAATACTGGAACACAGGCTCTAAGACCCTCAGAGGGGCTGGGCCTGGATGTATGTATGTATATACTGCTGGATGTATGTACTGGATGGATGTATGTACTGGATGTATGTATGTATGTATGTATGTACTGCTGTCCCTAAGGCAAATATCACCTGCTACTAGTCCCGTGAGCCTGGCTGTGCACGTGATCATACTCTTGCGTGCATGCGTATACACACACACACACACACACACACACACTGTGCTCCAGCACTGTTCCCGATGAGTCGAGTATACAAGGTAAGCATAACCTCTGCTATTGCCTTCTAGATGGACTGGCTGAGAGCCTGAAGCTTTCCGAAGAAGAAGCAGCCCACAGAGCCTCCAAGAGGAGTTAGGTGGCATGCTGCATGTAAGAAGTCTCCTTCAGAGAAACTTACATCAAGACACTCACTGTCCTTTCCACACCCCAACTGGACCTGATGCTTTGCCTTTATCAAGCAACTTGAGAGAAATTTGATGAGGGCTTGAATAAGTAGTCTCTCTCTCTCTGCAGCTCTCCAGCCTGGGGCTCGCTCGGCAGGTAGCTTCCAATACTGCAAGAGTCAATGGCTCTTGAACTAGGGGGTGTAGGTAACTGAGTGCCAGAGCGGTTCCTTAGCATGCGCGAAGTCCCTCATCTCATTGTCAGCACTGAAAAGGAGGAAGCGACAAGAGTAGATGGCCTTGCCAATCTACTCTCCTCACACAGAGGAGGATGGAACCTCGGAGAGCTGAGAAGAGCGAGCC